ACTGAAGTGCGTCTGCTGGTGTCGCCATGTTTGTTTTGTTTAGTTTGGGTACTTTCACTTTCACCTTTGGCTTCTCCACAAACTTCAGTGATGCTCTGTGATTGGTCGCCCAGTCACTTAACCGTACAGTGGGAGTCTCTCAAGAGATCAAGATTCTCATGAGTTTGCGTACTCACAAATATTGCAGAATGCATCTTGCTGTGAGAGGGAACATGGTTAATTCTTTGGTGCCAAAGTCTGACAGTACCAGCCTTCAGAACTCAGGCATACTGCTACAAACATCAGACGGGTTTTCAGGCTGAGGATGATACAAATCGTCTAAAATCTAAAAAACAGTGGTCAAGAAGTTCTGCCAATATTTTTAGGCTGATATATAGGCAGGTTTGGCTTAATTTCTCCCAAATGATCTGATCTGAACTTACTTTAAACTCACCTGCAGCCCTAATGTATACAAACTGGAAAAGAAAGCAGTGTAGTCACGTTTTGTGTAGCGTCCTCTTCAAGGTTTATGCACATTATTTAACCCAAACAAATACTGAGCTCTGGAAATTTAAGGCCAATATATCGATCTATCCCTACAAAAAATATGTGCAAAAATACTGAAATATCGATATATCCTATTGTTCAATTTGATGATACAGTATCAATATCATGGACTGCTGTATCGATATATCATCAAGAGTATTTTTTTAGGTGTATTTTACTAAATTATTTTGTGTAAGAGCTATAGTTATGTTGAGATTTTCATTGTTGAGTAAAATGGGTGTTTTTCATCTTAACTTTGCACAGACTTAGTGGATTTAGTATCACAGTCATGATTTAACCTTTGTTTTTCGAAGTGATTTGAAATATATCATATCAAATCATACAGAATTGAAAGTGTGCTGTATCTAAAATCGTATCGTGGCCTATGTATCGAATCACAATGATACCCAGCTGTAATCTCCACACTATCACCATATCATTTTGTGCTTTTCTATCTCTTTCGTAAGCCGATCTTTCCACTTCAGATTTCTAAAACAGTCTCATGGTTTGTTAATAGTTATCCATATCGCCTCCATTTGTCCATATTGTCGGACAGAACAGACCCCCCCCTTCCCACCCCTTCCTCCCCCTCCTCCCTCCGCTCCCCCCTCGTCCCTCCGAAGACTCTCCAAATGTGCTCCGAGGTCTTAATGGCACCGATTAAAAAGCAATTTAACAGAGAAAAGGGGATTAGCAACAGTACGGCCGCGCTAATCCTTAACCTTTAGTCACTGTATGCGCGCGACGATAGCATCAGCGACCACACTTTACACTCTCCCCATTACAGCGCCGCTATTCCCCCCAGAACCCGCAGGCATTAGAGAGGCTAATGAAAAGGCTCCTATTGATAGGCTGTTTGGGAGGAAACACTAGGCCATGTTAGGTGAAGTCTGCACAAGACGTCATGGTCATCTGGAGAAGATGGAGCGGGACAAGGAGACATGGAAATGGGAAAGAATTACAGGAATATTATCAAGATTAAATGAATAAAATGTTTGTTGATGTGTGGATTTTGAGGTGTGGTGTGACTGATACATCGAGTACAGCGCTGTTAACCCTTCTAGACTGACGGTATCGTTTACGAATACCTGGGAATATGTTTTATAGAACCACACATAACTTTCCAACCATAAAACATAGAAACTTACTTTTGTTCCTTTGAAAAGCTGAGAAAAGGCACTTTCTGAGCATATCCTACATCAGGGATCTCCGACCTTCTGCGTCTGGTGAGCTACATTTACAAAATGAAAACGCGGAAGAGTTACTCATTTGAGCTGTTGCAAAAAATGCATTTGATATAAGAAAGCGAACCTTTGATTACAGTTAAATGCCTATAAAACATCAAACCATTAGCTATTTATTAGTGCACAAAGGTCAGTGGTAGCCTGAGTAATCAAATTTGAGTTATTTAGTACAAAACATATAATTCAGAAATCCTTCGGTGAGGTACTTGTAAACAGGTGGAGAGCTACTGGTAACTCCTGAGGTTGGAGACTCCTGTTCTACATGATGATGTAGGAAAAACAAGTGTCAAATAGGAACTTTGACCAAATGGTCTCAAGGTTTTTATTGGTAGCAGGATTCAGGAGTCTGCTTCGTATTAAAAGTGTGAATGTGGAACATTTCTGGAGGAGGGACGGCCACTTCCTTATCTCCATAGAGACTTTATGGTTAAAATTAATAAATTAATTAATTATAAAATTAGTGTGACCAGACGTCTAATTTACCCGGGACAGTCTTAGTTTTGAGCCCTGTGTCCCTTGTCCAAGCAGACTGTTTGTTGATGTGCTGATTTTAAGGTGTGGTGTGACTGGACACATCTAGTGCAGCGCTGTGAACCCTTCTAGACCAATGGTATCATATACAAATACCTGGTTAATATGTTTTATAGAACCGCGCATAACTTTCCAACCATAAAACATAGAAACTTTGTTTTTAGTCCCTTGAAAAGCTGAGAAAAGTGGCTTTCTGATCATATCCTACATCAGGGATCTCCAAGCTTTTGCGTCTGGTGCGCTACATTTACAAAATGAAAACGCCGGAGAGCTACTCATTTTAGTGGTTGCAAGAAACTGATTCAATATAAGAGCCTTAGATGTTGTACAGTGAAATACCTATAAAACATCAAACCATTCTCCATTTATTAGTGCAAAAAGGTCAAACTAACACATTTATCAAATCAAATTTGAGTTATTTAGTACAATACATTTGCTAAAGGTTGGAGACTCCTGTCCTACATGATGATGTTTGGAAAACGAGTGTCAAATAGGAACTTTGACCAAATGGCCTCAAGTTTTTTATTGGTAGCAGGATTCAGGAGTCTGCTTCGTATTAAAAGTGAGAATGTGGAACCTTTCTGGAGGAGGGACGGCCACTTCCTTATCTCCAACGAGACTTTATGGTTTATAAAATTAAGGTGACCAGATGTTTAATTTATCCAGGACAGTCTTAGTTTTGAGCCTGTGTCCCTTGTCCTGACAGATTTATACAAAACCAATGATTTGTCCAAGTTTTATAAAGAAACGTCCCAGGTGTCCCTATTTTTGACCAATCTGATCCCTGCTAACAGTAAAGAGAGACATGTATTGTCATTTGTTTAGGTAAAATACAAAAAAATCTGCTTAAAAACAACCAAAACATAAAGAGAATGTGACTATACTGACTCACATGTTGGTCACGAATGATCTCTGCAGAACAATTTTCCGTAACTACACACTTGTTTCACTATTTTATTATAACTAACTATCAAAACAACGGATGTCCCAGTTTTTTATTATTATTATTATTATTATTATTATTATTATTATTATTATTATTATTATCCCCCTGTATAGAAGGGTTCACAGAATGACTTTGAATGACTTATATACAGTATCTCCAAGCAGACAAGCAGATGACACTCTCAGGTCGTTACATGTCAGATCCGTGGAGAGCTGGGCCTTCTCAGTTTTGATGCATTCGTTATGGTAGAGTATTTTGAGCAATAAAACATGTGATGAAATAAATGCTAGACAGATCCATTTGCACAGAGAGAAGCGAGTGGTCTACCTGCTCTTGAAAAGTTACACAGTGCATCTTTATTATTATGGACACTTTCCTCTCGTGGCTAAAACATGTGCTCACTAAGAATGACTTTTAGGTAACTTTAAGTGCTCCAGACTTAGACTCCATACAGTCTTCAGTGCGTTGTCCCTGTGCACATACACAGAGCGTTGCATTAGCTCCCCTATAGAACATCCCCCTGCTGTTTTTGACGGACGACTTTCACTTTTAGCCTCTTTGTGATTGCCTCTGCTCACCGGAGCAGGCAGAGTGCTACGCTAACAGTCCCCTGCATTAATCTTTCATATTGAAATTTGTGCCGCGCAAAGATTCAATTTTGTGCACTTTGTGGCTGTGCGATTGGTCGTATTGTTTTATTTATACTTCGAAGTCCATACATTATTGAGACGTTTGGAAACTGTATATTTGGGAGGCTATTTTTAAAATGTACATTTGACAGCACAGACGACATGCTGCTTCTGAAGGTGTTTAACTTATTGTGTTGTTGTTGTTCTGTTGTTGTTGTGTTGGCTGTTTAGACACTGGTGATAAAGACGATGGAGAGCCTGAGGGAGCTGGTGGTTTTGCTGCAGTGGTGGAGATGTGGTTTAGCTGGGATGGCAGAAGCAGTGAGGGGAGAGAGAGTGTATTTGAGTGACTGTTCTGAGAGGTGATTGGTTGAGAGGCAAATGCAGAGGGCTGTGATTGGATGACATAGTAATCATTGGCTTTATAAAGCATTTTCAAGACACGCAAAGTGCTTTACAGCATTATTCATTCACTTCACACACACTATTGCAGCCACAGTTGCCCTGGGGCAGACTGATGGAAGCGCTGCTGCCAATCTGTGAATTTGGCCCCTCAGACCACCACCAACATTCATGCACATACCACAGTCATACTCAGCAATGTGGTTGTGAGTTTTTGCCTGTAGCGCCCCACTGTAGCACCTGTGTTCCCAGTGGTATTGACCAATACTCAGATGAGATGACTAGTGATGAGATGAGATGTGATGACATCAGACTTTGACAGGAGTTATGGTGTGAGGATGGAAGTAGGAATGATGTCCATAGTTAAATTAAAAGTCAGTTTTATGCATCATACTCACATTAGTATTTTTTCTCACATATATAATTGTAGATGTTTGACTGGGAGCCAGGTGAACTTGCTGACTCGTGCTCTGAAACAGAGCTATAAAAACATATTTGTGATATGCAGTGGTACAGAAACTTGGCTCAGTATTTTTGTCAAAACACAGTGTTGCCGTGCTCAGAGCTGTGATGTGTTACTCCCACAAAGCTCTAAATAAAGCCTGTGTTTGTGTCGGTCTGACTCTTGTGTGTCGCCCCCTACAGGCCTCCTCTGAGCAGAAGAAGCTGAGCCATGCTGGATCCACGCCCTCCCTGTGCGAGAGCAGCGGACTCCCTCAGATAGCCATGAACACCTGCAAGTACAATGGCGGTGTCGTCCGGCCACTAGTGGGCAGCCTGGCGTCATCGTCGCGCCGGAACCTGGCCGACCTGGACTCGGAGACGCAGCCTCTGCAGACGCTGCACAGCTCCGGGCTAGAGGTGGTGGTCTCCAAGGGCAACGGCGAAGACCCCAGCAAGGCGTCCAACGAGAGCCTGGTCCGGGAGGGCAGCCGGGGCGGGGGCCGGGCGCCGCAGAAGAAGAACAAGGACATCGGCTACAAGCTCGGCCACAGGAGGGCGCTGTTCGAGAAGCGGAAACGGCTCAGCGACTACGCGCTCATCTTTGGGATGTTTGGGATCGTCGTCATGGTGACGGAGACAGAACTGTCCTGGGGGGTTTACACTAAGGTGGGTCCTGGGGCAAGTTTGTCAGAAATGTTGTATTTAGAGGTGTGGTTGGTCAGTACACTCCACAGATACAGGACTAAGTCTGAGAAATAGAACAGTTTTACACATGTTGTCCCTCTGCCTGACCTCTGCTCGTCCTCTCTGTGGCCCCTCCCTCTCTCTCTCTCTCTGTGGCCCCTCCCTCTCTCTGACTCCTCCCTGTCTTTGGCCCCTCCCTCTCTGTGCCCCCCTGCTGTCCTCGCCCTTGGGTGCAGCCTCAGCAGTTGGTCCGTGTTGATGAGCACAGGTCAGGGCAGGTGTCTCTTCTCAGACAGGGCTCCTCTTAAGCCCCTGCCAATAAATCCAGCTCTTCAGAAGAACGGCTGATGTGGCAAAAAGACCACTTCAGATTCTCAGCGTGGGCCGCACTTTTAGATCCGCTGCCATCTTCCCACTTTCAAATGAAAACTTACAATAATTTACGAGAGCTTAAAAAATTTACAATGAAAGCACATTTTTTCAGTGTCCGGCAGTTCAATTTCATCAGAATCTTGGAATCTCCAAACTCCTGACGACAGAGTTTTGGGTTAAATTGATTGACTGATACTCGTAATACCACTTGTTAATGTTCCAAAAACAAAAGTTAAACATTCACACATAAGACAACAAGATACACAACTGCTTGTCTTGTCTCCATTATGTTATTGCTTTGCCTAGAATGTTCCATGGTTTGGCATTAACCTTAACCGATTATGCTTTTAGGTAATTACAGGAGTTATTGCAAAGAAAAAAACAAAACAACAACAACATTCAAGGCAATAAGATCTTCATTAAAAGTGGAATTTTTCTTAAGAATGGTACACCACCTGCTTATGGTCAAGTTACAGATCAGATCTGCGCACTGGCGAGCCCACTTACAGTATTTATTCATTAAAAAACACCTGCAAGTGAAGAAACGCAAGATAAATAATGCCATATTTTGCCAGAAACAGTGCATCTTTAAATAAATCTCTATGAAAATCTGACACTGCACTTTTTCAAAATTACACAAAACACAGATTACACAGAATTTGCTCATTTTAAACGTTTCATTGTGCACAGGGCCTTTATTACATTATTTTCTTATTATGTTATATTATTGTTTCTTGGTCAAAAATAAACCTGGAGTTGTGTTTTGTTAAACTTAGACTTAAACTTTATTGATCCACGAGGGAAATGATTTGGACACAGGAGTCACACATCACAATATAATATAATAACAAAGAGTAAAAATATAAATGGTAATAATACATTCTAAATAAGTAGTAAAAAAGATAGAGACAGGTGGCAAATAAGACCTAATTATATAAATGTAAATGTACCAAATAAAATGGAAAAATAAGTAATAACATATACAATCTCAGTTATAAACAAGAGGTCACAGGAAGACAGTGCAACAGTGATGTGATTGACATGACATAGGGTTATCTGTTACATAAGAGAGAGTTGTAGGGAGTATTATATGTTACATAAAGGTGAGTTGTTTATTTGTAGGGAGTATTATCAGTTACATAAGGGTGAGTTGTACAGTTGTAGGGAGTATTATCTGTTACATAAGGGTGAGTTGTACAGTTGTAGGGAGTATTATCTGTTACATAAGGCTGAGTTGTTGTACAGTTGTAGGGAGTATTATCTGTTACATAAGGTGAGTTGTACAGTTGTAGGGAGTATTATCTGTTACATAAGGCTGAGTTGTTGTACAGTTGTAGGGAGTATTATCTGTTACATAAGGCTGAGTTGTTGTACAGTTGTAGGGAGTATTATCTGTTACATAAGAGTGAGTTGTTGTACAGTTGTAGGGAGTATTATCTGTTCCATAAGGGTGAGTTGTTGTACAGTTGTAGGGAGTATTATCTGTTATATGAGGGTGAGTTGTTGTACAGTTGTAGGGAGTATTATCTGTTACATAAGGGTGAGTTGTTGTACAGTTGTAGGGAGTATTATCTTTTACATAAAGGTGAGTTGTTGTACAGCTGTAGGGAGTATTATCTGTTGCATAAGGTGAGTTGTTGTACAGTTGTAGGGAGTATTATCTGTTACATAAGGGTGAGTTGTTGTACAGTTGTAGGGAGTATTATCTGTTACATAATGGTGAGCTCTTGTACAGTTGTAGGGAGTATTATCTGTTACATAAAAGTTGTAGGGAGTATTATCTGTTGCATAAGGTGAGTTGTACAGTTGTAGGGAGTATTATCTGTTACATAAGGTGAGTTGTACAGTTGTAGGGAGTATTATCTAGTGAGTTGTTGTAGAGTTGTATACAGTGTGGTATGTTGTCCTGTATCTATGTATGTTGCGCTCCACTGTGTTTTTAAACTCCGTACTCCTTCACTAGAATCATTTGGAATTGCTCAGCTCTACAAAACAAACGGTAAAAGGAGCTGTTGACTTGAAAACTACCACTGCATGACATCACAAGGTGGAAGAGAGAAACAAAACACAACTCCAGTGATGTTTTCTGATAAGGTAACAGAATTCAAATTTTGCGTAATCTAGGGCCTTTCCTTCCCGCCGTCCCTCTGTCGTGTGTGTCTGCGCTCACAGTGAGAGGCGTCGCTCAGGTGTGGCCAGTGCATTAAGGTCTGAGATAATCTATAGGATGATGTATGTGGTTTTAAGGCAGTCAATGAGTCTGTCTGAGGCCGCTAACCACCAGGCCGGAGTCCATTCATCACGCTGACCTCCCTGTATAGACGTGTATGACCTCGGTGGTGAGTGACGGGGGAGGGGAGGGTCGTGCGGACGGGTGCGGGTAGGGGGCGTTTAGGTATTCCTCCTGTCACACTATGTCACGGCGTTATGGTTATGTGGTTGACCCTTTAGGAGAACGGTGAGTGGAACGTGACATAATGGGTTTACAATGGGCGGGTGTGATTGTTACATGATTAAGATGGATTTTTGGTGTTGCTCGCCAGACTTTCAGTACAGGGAACGCTAGAGAGTGTTGTAAAAAGAAACCATATAGTAATCATAATTTTAAAAAAAAATTATTTAAAAAACACTTTTAAAAATAAGGTTTACAAAGTGCTGTACAAGCCACACATAAAAATACAAAAAGCATAAAACAGCACACAGAAAGCACAAAAACAGACAATGATGCAAACAGTTCAATTAATTACAATAGGCGAGATTCATTGTTGACAAAAGTGCGCGTTGCATGCTAGGAATTATTTTGGTCGGCGGCAATAAACACTAAGTCAAAATGACGAATGGAGCGAGAAAGCACGTAAAGGGTATTGATCCCAGTTATTTATCCAGTCTAACGGCAGAGGACCCAAGACCATTTGACCAGAAATTGGTCATAAGCATCGATGGAGCCAAATCACCTTTTTCAACTCTACAGAGCCTGGACCAAACCACGTTTCTGGTCAGAATCACCGACTACCTGGACAAATATTCACTTGGGCGATATCCACAATGACTTGGTGGAAACTCCTGGGCCATTCACAGCAGAAAAGATGAAAACCTCCAAGAGTCTCGATGTGTTGTTGAACTTGTTGGAGTCCACGGTTTGTTAGGATCTTCTACGTTTGCTCTGCGGATGTTTGAAAGTCGTTTAATTCACCGTTAGCAGTTCTTTTCACTCAGAATATGAAAAAGACATTTTCCTTCTTCCGTGCTTCTATTTGTGCATCCGATAATGCAGCAGGAATTTACCATTATCGGGGATAAATACATGAGGTTACACACTGTGTTTGACCGCTACCGTGTTTCTTGCCTCTGATCAAAATATTTCCCAGCATGCAACGCGGGCTTTTAATAACAATGACGTCAGCTGAAACTCGCCTATAAATAAAAAGAAACAGAATAAAAATGATTAAGGAATAAAATCAAGCTAAAACCAGTTAAAAGAAGGCCAACCAATAAAAATGGGTTTTAAGAAGTGATTTCAAAGATGATACTTATGGTGTGAGCCTTATCTCCTCAGGCAGGTTGTTCCAAAGTTGAGGCGCCTGGACTGAAAAGACTCCAGCACCTTCGTCCGGAGCCTGGACTTTAGAACAACCGCAGAGACCTGCCTGAAGATCTAAGGCTGCAGGAGGCTCGTACGGGGTTAAAACTTCTGAGATGTAACTTGGTGCAAGATCTAAACAAGCTTTAAAAGTGATCAGTAAAATCTTAAAATCGTTTCTAAGGCTGCGTTCAGACTGCAGCCTGAAGTGACTCAAATCAGATTTTTTGGCCCCTATGTTCCTGTATCTGATCTTTTAATGACAGTCTGAACCACACAGATCCGATTTTTTCAAATGTGACCCAGGACACTTGGATATGTGCTCCTGAAACTGATACATATCTGATCTTTTGACATGCGACTTAAGTCTGAACGGTCAAAGTGCATTCATCCACCTACACGTTATCAACAAGACACAAACGTCACTATTCTGCACTGAAGTAGGCAAAAATTGTTAATGAACTCTGTGTCACTGAAGTGAAGCACATCACCACTCACCACTCTTGGCTCCGTCTCCACATCCACACGTTCCTGTCAACGGACGTCGCTCCCACTGTCCTACAAAACACCACGGCCAAAAACCTCGTCCTTCTCCTTCTCAATCTCCTCCTTAAAACAAGTAAGTTGTTCATGTTCTGGCTCCGGTACGAGAGGAACTTTAAAATCTCCAGGTGCTCAATGCTCACGTCCATGTTTGGACAACTTCCATAAACACAGAGCACGCTCGCTGCGGTTGACGTCATCGTGTCTCCAGTGCACATGTGGGACACTTTCGGGATGTTTAATGTTCACACTGGAGAGTCACATTTAATTGGAAATTGTGAACGACCTCTCAAAAACATCGGATTTCACAAAAAAATCGGAATTGAGCGTTAAGCCCTGCAGTCTGAACGTAGACTAAAACCCACAGGAGCCAGTGAAGGGAAGTAAAACAGAGGAAATGTGTTAATGTCTGTTCAAACTGGTGAGGAGCTGAGCTTCGGAGGCAGGAGATGGATTTGGAGACAAGGCTGTAGTGTTGTCACAAGTT